ATGGTTATTTGATGACATGATTCTTTAAAAATATTCACACATGCAAGAAATTTAATGATGTTAGTAGCTGTGCTTAGGAACCTATACTAAAAGTTAGTCACAAACACTAACTGACATTAACTCCAGAAATTTATCAAATTAAAGAGCACCAAACTGATACTACTTACCAATATTTTAGACTTAATTGAATGATCTTAAAGCCTTGTGAAGAGCGCTGTACCCTCAACCACTGAAAGAACATTGACTAGTACGTATTCCTAACGTTAATCCACTCATAATGTAACAAGATAATCATCTTATGGTAATTTAGTTTGTCAGAGTTTGACTAATCTTTAAAAATTTCCCGAAATTGGCATTGATTCCATAGATATAAATGAGATTTGATGTAAGTCATATTGTGGTGTGTGCTACTTATATTGGCATGAGTAATATATGATGTTAGTCGTGAACAGAAGGTCTGGCAGCAGAGAGACAAGAGGATCGAAGAGTATAGAATGAAATAGAATGCAGTTTGTATGAAAATGCAAGAACAATGAGGCCTGAGTCATTTTGAGACAATTGGTGGACATTTTGCAATTGAACCATTTACTTTATGATTGTTAGATTTTACTAACAAGTCCTGTAATTTTATGTTAAATACATTCGATTGTTCACCACTGGTGATGTATTCTATGAAGAAAGTATATTGGCATATTTAACCATTCAAGATTATCTACCATTCTTTAAACGAGTCTACAACGCAATGTTTACCATAACTTACAAAATTTATGTTATCCCGTTGCTGATATTCAGGATTGAGTTTCGTTCAATCTTTGTTGGTATAAACTATACTTCAGTAAATCGGTATAGACATTTTATCAAAAGTTTAGTACGTTTAAGTTGTAGCTAGTAGAATACCAACTAAAAATGACTCACTGGTTTAGTGAACTATGTGACAGGGACTGGGTTTGAGTCCCACTATAACATGAGTACCTGGATCCAGGTAAATTCAAAAGTTGTATCATAAATAAGATTAAACATATATCCTGGATTCCACTGGTAGCTAGAGCCCAAATATACTCTGTATATGTTCCCACGACTTTGATATATATATATATATATATATATATATAATCCTAAGTATCTGTTTAGTTATTATTCATACAATACACTTCCTTGGTTTATCGATTAAATAGTTTTATATCAACAAAATAAACGGCTTAACTAAATTCCTATAGTAATAACTTCGTGATTTAAGTTGTACAGACAAAGGTCATGATATTTAGTTCACAGAAACCACATCGTAACGTCTTTTAATTAATCACAAACAAATATCAACAGTATAGGGTTGTGAAGATTAATAAATTTTTGATTGATATCATGAATTGATTGATGTTAGACCGCCATTGAAAACCTAGAAGCACCAGACGGCCGTTTCGTCCTATTATGAAACTCCTCAGCAACATGCATCCACGGCTCTGTTAGCGGGATTCGATCCCAGCGCCTCTACTCTCGCGCACAGACGCTTATGTTTTAATAGAGGTTGTAATTGAATATTTGATTTCACTGAGAATATGAAACCACAAATTGTAGCCTCCTAATCCATAGGAAAGTGAGTTGAAACTCCCGATTGAAAATCCTTTCAACATGTTACTCTTTAAGCTTAATTCTTATTGTCGTCTATTACTTTAAGTCTTTCCTTTTCTAATTACCCTAACATGACTTAAGTTGCCGGATTCAAATTACTTTGTCATCAGGTGTTACCTTTCATTCTGAATTTAAGCGAAGTAAAATTGTACAAACCCAATGAAAACTGGTTTTTAAGTGAGTTTACTCAAACTTATATAAGTAGTATTAATTGAACTTCTGTTTTTATTACCATTGAATGACTAAATATCAAATCTCTTTTACAATAATCTAAATTTAAACCATATTTTGCTAAAACCTAGCTTGATTCATCCCATAACTCAACTACTGAGGAATCAGAATTGCATTGGCGTCAATATATTGTCAAATTATCTCCAACTAATATATATGTAGAGCTAGACTGGAGAGGTTTCCCTAAGCCAAGGCTCGTTTATTTTAACTTCCAAGCAATTATTAACAAATCAAATAGCATGTGACCTTCTGTATATACCTTCATTCTTGTTGTCCTTCTTCGCTAAACACTCATTTATATTTTCATGTGTCATTTGCAAGCATAATTTATGGACATAATTACTTAGTTACAGTTCTATTTCGAATTTAATTTATGGTACAATTCCTCATAAATTGTCTATTTGTATACACAAGCTTCCTCTTACTAAAACAATTATCTTTGTGGTTGGTGAAAGTCAAAGACCAATATGCAACTGACTATTCATTCATATTAAATGGTTTACATTAGATCGAAGTAAAATTATAGATGTATACTGGTGTAGCCCAAAACAGCTTGTTGAACCTGTTTATTTTCTCAATCTTTACAACCATCCTATATTTTCTGTATTATCTTATACTACTTATTAATATTCAGTAGCCAGCCTCGTTGCAAACCACTTTTGAGCTTGTGGCGTGTAATATGTATTCGTTGTGTAATATTTTTAAAATTTACATAAATTTTTGACATTCAAATTATTTATTACTGTATTTACATCTCCTGAACATTTCTAACAGTAATATCTTTCATTTTCCATACTCTATTCCATTATTTTACGTTAATCTGCTCAGTGTTCGGATGCTGTACTTAACTATCATATTGTTTCACTTCTCCTTTTAACGCCTGGAAATATTCAAAGAAAGCCAAATATTTGTTTGCATTCCATTTTAAGAAAATGTGAACATAGGGTGATTGATTTTCTCATAACGTAGAATCCATGTGGTAAAATCATAACACGGATTTAGGATGGTGATCTGTAATCGTTTCAAACCAGTATGGTTACACTCAACTTATTTAGTATACACAGGCTCAGACGTATGGTACGAGGACTTAGCATTTCATCTTTAAATCTCAGTTCAGAGAATGCAATACTGAGAGGTTGACTTCAAAAATAACCTGTCGAAAACATTAAACGTTTGGGTCTGATTGAAAGTGCAGGCCACGCCACAGTACGAAAGGAGGATGGATAATATTCAGGGCTAGACTATATACTATCGAGCAGTCAGCTTCTAATCGAGGAAGTCCTTATCTAACCACCCTTGAGGAATACTGACCATAACACCCCCCATAGATTTGCTATACTAATAAAGAATACTGTGTAATGAAGGAACATCTACCGTACCCCCATGGTCACTAGAGTGACGAAAGCTAACAGCAGGTGACCACTGGGAGATGGTAAGTAATATTACTCAGAAAGCTATCCTACACAATGTACCTCAAAGAAAAAAAGACCCGTGAAAACATTACTCCTCAAGAGAGACACAGAACGCTCGATACGGACGTAAAGATGAGCCCATGCAGATGGAAAGTTTCCGAAAACAATTCTGACAGTAGCTCTTACTTGAGATCGAGAAATAGGTGCAACGTCAAAGTTTGAAGCAGTAGATATATTTTCAGAACAAGCTAACAGGCAAAACACAAGCGAACCAAAAATACGTTCTCAGATTCTTGGCTAAGCAAAAGCTCACAAACCAGGCTATCTGTGCTCCTAGATGGGCGAACGGAGACCATTCCAACTTAGGAATGGCACAGATCTCTAACTTCAACTTTTCCGACCAAATGAACCAACAACCTACATGTGCAGAGTACTTTTAGACTCTAGCATCGTCTGATGACCCCAGAAACATATGTTTATCTCTTTGATTAGCATCAGGAGTTTAAGGTCACTGTGTCTAGAAGAGTAACCGATACGCGATAGCATTCTCTCTGTAATTCTGAAAAAGTAAACAAAAGCCATCGATACACCGGTACATGTCTTTTTCAGACACCCACTGGATTCACAACTAATTCAAAAAGTTTCTTAAAGTGTAGTGACAGTAAACTAAGTGGGTGATGAGCCCAAGAAAGTGATCTTACGGAGACCGACTCCGACGCCTTAAATTGTTTATGATTGATGTCACAGGTATTCAGTGTTTCACAACGCTTCTACCAGTAACACCTTCTAATATATTTCGTTCCCACCAAGAGAAATCAAAAGACAGAGTCGAGGAGATCGGAAGAGTATATTTGGCGATGACCAATATATCGGAATTCTCTGATCTAATCTGGCTAGCGATTGCGGTTGATGTTGAGCACGGCGTTACCACACGTGATCTGGTGCGGATGCCTGACCGAGCGCCTTCAGCTAGATGAGTCCACTAAAACATATGGTCAGCATCCAATGTCGAAAACTTAGTGCTATTTACTTTGGGGATTTATTTACCACTACAGATACACCGGTACATGTCTTTTTCAGACACCCACTGGATTCACAACTAATTCAAAAAGTTTCTTAAAGTGTAGTGACAGTAAACTAAGCGGGTGATGAGCCCAAGAAAGTGATCTTACGGAGACCGACTCCGACGCCTTAAATTGTTTATGGTAAGCAGTATGTGTCGGTGAATAAAAAGTGATCTGATAATTGCACATAGCCTACTAAGTACTCCAAGCCACCCAAAAACTAATATTTAACCAGGACTTCACCATCGGATTCTCTAGGCAACCTCTGTAAAACCGTACAACGAAAAACCAGGTACACTCACTATTTCTTGCTAATAACTGGACGCGTATTGAATGCTCTCCCAGATGAAGTGAACGCAGCTCCATCAGAGAATAGTTTCAATTAGGAATTAACAAATGCCCACTCACTTAGGAATTTCCATATCTCACTTGAGCTATATGCATGTGATCCATGTCTGACAACTATGATTATCACATATAATTAAATTATACCTATCTCACCTATTATCATTGCCGTTCCATCTTTATTCCTCCTTCTCTGTCTTGTCGCGCCCCATGAATCGCCAGCTTAACAGATTATTTATTTATTCGCTTCTTAAAACAGTTGACTTCTAGCTATCGATTTTTCTCTTTATTTTTCAAACAGTGACCAACCCGCCTCCTACCTATTAATATGAGAACTGCTGGTTCCACAAGGCTTACTATTGTGAAGCGAACACACTTTCTCGGGCTAAAGGTTATATGTCCATACTGAAACAACGAAAAGCCAGTTGGTTTGTGTAAGCTTGGTACGAAAATATTGGATATTGAGATAAGTACATTGTGCTGGTGACTGGCGGATATTCGATTGTACATCTCGACAGCTGTTTCAATGGATAAAGTAAAGCAGTGGTTTACACGAGATGATGATGAACAAGGAATATTCACAGACGTATGCATGAAGAGAGTTTCACGACTTCTTAGGTCGAAAATGGTTGTTCGTTGAGCTGGAGTACACGTATAAAAGCGTTTATCATATGCTTAGTAGTGGGTATCGTGATGTCACTATTGGTAAAAACAACATTTTTTGCTTACCATCTAGGGATCCTTATGTTTGTGGTTGCCTGGAGCAGGTATCACACTCTTTGCACTGTTTTATACGCTTGGCAATATATGTTCTTTGGGAAGGTAATCAGTATTATGTATTCTTGAAGTCCTACTAGCACTATTTTCCTGATGGGACCCGTAAATCAGTTAAAGCGTATGTTTCAGGAGACTAGAATTTTCGCAGCAGTAATCATGCTGGTAAAGTCACCTTTCCACTATTTTTTTTACGTACAAATAATGCAATTCAGGTATGTTTGGTTCTCACAATCGTTTTCGCACTACTGGTAAATATTATTTGTAATAATGTCCAACATATATAGGGACTTCGTCTCCTCTGCTTAATATTTTGCATTCTACAATCGTTGGCGTTGACATGGTATTCACTCTCGTACATCCCTTATGCTAGGTAATCCCGTTAGTTATTTGTTCAATATTTCTGTCATGTTTTTGATTGTATTAGTATGTTTAACTTGATATAATTTCAAATAATTGATATCTTAGCTAAGTTGGTTTTTCGATTTTATCATCAACATTTCCTTTGTGGTTAGATCTGCATTCTGTAACATTTTCGTCAAAATAGTTAATCTCCAGTATTTTCGTCACATGCTTGCGTAAACCGATCAATTTCATTGAGCTCGCTTCTCGTAGTTTCGGTACGGGTCTAGGCATTTGATAATGTCTACTAGGTGGTAATCTAGCCCCGACTGGATTAATTCTAGTCAGTCTTTTAGTTAGTAATTTCGTGCTAGTTGGTATTCGTTAACAAGCAGTATCTGCAACCTTTGGGAACTAAACACTATCGATTCACTTGGACTTATGTTCACATTCTAGTTCAATCGACAAAATTTGATCGCACTCAGATCCAAACAAACATGAAATTATTTTTAATCGCTAAGTGATTGAATAATGTCAATCCTACGGATCATTCATATCCCAAATAGTTCATCAATAATCTCAGAATGTACTACTAGATAATGTGAATACAAATCCTATTGGATCCATTAGTCCACTCAAGATTCCAGGTAAGTCTTGCTAATTAGTGCTAACTAGCACGAAACCTAGTTTCCAGGTTGCTTACCGACTACCTCCATCCATGTAATATGCAATTTAATAAATATATTAGTTGACATACTGCAAATGGACGTGTTTTATAATTTATGTCTACTTCGCTACTTTTAAAGCGTTTCAAAAGCGTGCTTTAAAGCAACTTAAGTTACGTGGATACTTGAAGTCTCGACTTTATTAGTACTAACCACAAATAGTGTTAAACAAAGATGTCCATTCCTGCCATAAGTGGCATACACAAAGCATTTTGTAAGTAAGGATTCAGAAATGAAAATGATGACTTGAACTGAACAAAGACTATCTGTAGTGTTAATAACATTTTCTTTTTCTTTAGTTTTCAAGAGTCATTGTTTATTGATGCTTGAGTGAACTGGCACAAGCACAAAGTAATCAGTATGTCATTTTGAATGTTAAGTAATCGTTAGTTTCGTAAATAGTTAGTAGCGAATTCCAACTACTTAAGCTGAATACCAAAGAGCCGTAAAATTAACTCATCCAAATTACATCGAAGTAACCTTATTATTAAAGTATGTCTCAATTTAGATTAACGGTATTTCGAAAATGTACCGGTGTGCAAATTACTGTTCGTATTGAGAATAATTTATTCACATTGATTAAAACATCGACATAATATTCCACAATCACGTAATCTTGCATATTTTCCAAGAATTTTCTCTATTTTGTTACCGGATAAATCATCATTACAAGACGTCCGTTAATCAGTACTTATGGAACAAATAGTATATATCAAACTTGACATAAAAGTTGTGACTGTAACTTCTGAACATACCTGCACTTGTTATTAAATTTTAACATGGTGATAACTGGATTTTCCTGGAATATTTCTACCCTTTATATTATATATATTATATAAGTTTAGATACCAATTATTTGATAAGATCGGTAATAACAAAGTTTGTAAACTAGATTTTATCGGTTAAAATCTTACTAGTATTATGCGATTCATATCAAGACCAATATAGAGTAGAGCTTAATTTCTTGTCTGTTAATACTTAAGGGTCATAACTAGCTTGATGCTTGCACCAAGGGAGCAGTTAGCAGGAACTGACTAGTTATTTGCAGAGGTCTTTAAGTGCAGTGACCCAAGATCTTATCATAAAATTAGTTAATATATTAAATAAAGTTTAGGAGCTGAACACAATTCTCTTCTACTAATCCTCATTACTAAGAGTTTATGCTTGCAAGAATGGACAAAAGTCTTATTGTAACCATAGAAATTAATCCAACTGTTGTACTTTATTAACCATTGATCTCTACAGTTATATTTGATACTTAAGTACAGACATTTTCTTCGGTAAATTTACGAGTATTAGCCTGTAGCAGTGAAATTCTGTCAATTTGTTAATGGCGAGTCTTTCACTTTAATAATGTAAAAAGAAGACGAAGGTTATCATAATTATGTGAAGTATTAGCGCAATGCATTTCGAACAATTTGATCGCACATGTTAAGAACATTTATGTATAAAAATATTAGGTTAACTAGACAAATTGAGTGTAGGAGAAAACGATCTTATGACCTATTGCCAGGTCATAAGGTTGATTTTAACTCGGCTTTTGTGGTATCGTACAGAAGTGTTAAATGACGCATACCACGGTATATTGAAGCCTTGGCCATACGAAATTCCAAATCTCTCTGTGTATTCAGGAACTGTTTGTTCTCACCTTAAACCTACCCTGGTAATATTAGTTTGTTATCCAGTGTGGCAAGTTTCACACTATTTTTGTTTTCTCTTACCTTCTATTTGTTTAATTGACCTAATTTCTCATATATGAATGTTTTTAACAACAATATGTATGAGCAGATCGTTCGAAATGTATTAAGCTGTTATGTCACATAGTTGTGATAATCCTTCTCTTATCACACTATCCAAATTGACTCGTTTGCCCAGCCATTTATCCACATTTTAAACGTTCATTTATATTCAATACGACTGTTTTCAATAAAAATGAGACACAGAAATAGCATAAACTTCAACTACACTTGTACTTAATTGTGGTAAAAGCATATACAAAGTGTTTTACTATATTTGTGTAACCTAGCCTCTACGAGTTGAGGATGTTAAGCGACTCTGTTTGATCATCGTTGTTTCCGAAGGACTGCTGACATTCAGTGGTAATATCATATTAGAAGAACACATATAAGCGAATAATTGTTTTCAATTAGATCGTCATCAGGCTTTACTCTAATATACATGAATAGTTATACGAAAATGTTAAACCAATCAAGGCAATATGGGTCAATAATCACAATGAAATAGAATAAGTCTCTACACATAATAGGTAAAAATACAAATTGATAGTAGGAAGATGGGTGTACTGATAGTAGTAAGAATAATAAAATACAATAACAAAACTCTTATCAATAGTTAAACGTTGGGAATAGCAGGTTAAACAAACGTGGGTAAATAGACTTGGAATAGTCACCACAAAACATTAAAATCATTACGTAATAAGATGTGTGTAAATAATTAAATAATGAAGAATACAAACGGGAAGAGGCGGGAAATTACAAACGAATACTAGATGTGAAAATAAGGTTAATGATAACAAAATAAAAGTCGTTTGTTAAATGATAACTGGCCACGTGAGGAATAGGGGGGTTACGTATTTCTTCTGTACACATAAATTGGAGTTATATGTACGAATTCCTATGGCTTCAGCTATATGTAGGAGGCGGGAACGAACTCCGTCGGGAAATGATGGAGGTATACGGTAGATAACTCGAAATGATTTCGATTTATCTACAGCATGACCGCTATCAATGAGATGTGCCAAGATAGAACTGGGAATAGATTTTATCTGGCCCTTTATGTACCAAGTTGGTAGATGTTCACTCATTCGTTGGTTAAGTTGCCTGGTAGTACGCCCTATATAGCTATCTCCACAGGAGCAGCTGAATTTGTAAATGCACATAGAAGAGGCCAACTCAGGTAACTTATCCTTCGTTTGAGTAGACATCTCTGGTCGACAAGTGAAGGTCAACGCAAGATTGGCTGAGTAGAATGTTCTGGTGATTACTTTAGTTAAGAAGTCGGAGATTTCGACCGTTCGTAAGAAGCCTTTATACATGAAAGTGCAATTCAAAGGGGATGTGGCTAGTGACACTCTGAAATATATGCCCTGGTACGGCCGAGAGTGGGGTGAATCCGCTCTCCCTCTCGAAATACTTTCACACGGCCGCGCATATACAGCCTCTGCCAGGGAAGTCCTACTCATTGCCTTCTCGTGGCGGGGGTGTTGTTTACGAAAATGAGAGGACGAAAAGCGAATGTCCGGCGCTTTAACCGGATCACAAACCAATGGTGCACATGGGCTCCAGTATCCTGAGGGAACAAATGGTGTATGAACCAATCGTTGGTCACCGGCTACCATGGGACTGCATCTCCTTACGATGCTCCACTGCCTTGTGGGTTAGACCTTTAGGTCAAGGGCTCGGGGAGTGGCCCCCTAAGAAAACCACCTGCTTCGGTTTGGGCACCCGGGCAGTATCACAGCCCACACACAAACGATGAACTCTATGTCTTTGGCAACTACTTTTATCGCTCCGAAAAACAATCAGTCGATTCAAATAATTATCATTACTATTATTGTCATTATTAATACTATTATTGTCGTTATTATTATTATTATTATTATTATTATTATTATTATTATTATTTCCCACATTATTCACCCTCTTTTATACTTATACAGCGGCTCGTCTTTGGTGGAAATCCGACTGTATCTAAACGTTCTCGAGTCACTGTCCGGTTGAAAGTTGTATGTTACCATCGAATATGAGTACTGAAGCAGTTTTTCTGAAACCACGTGCGCCATTCAAACTGGCTGCCTTCAACGTTCGCACACTTATGCAGGTTTGTCAACAGATAGGGCTGGCTATGTCTTTGGAAAGTCTTAATATTGATGTTTGTTGTCTATCCGAGACCCGTATTCAAGACTCTAGCGAAGTACTACAAATTCGCTCTACATCTGTCACTTCAAAAAGCTTGTTTTACGTGCGCTTATCCGGGGACCCTGTGGCATCTTCGTCTGGTCTTGCAGGCGTTGGTGTCGCACTAAGCGCTAGAGCTGAGGCAGCACTAGTCGATTGGATCCCCATTAACAGTCGGTTATGTGCTGTTAGATTAGAGAGTTCCATCAAAGTGAGAAGAAATCGGCGTGAGAAACGATGTCTTTTCGTCATCTCCGCCTATGCCCCGACAGATTGCACCCCGGATGCAATCAAGGATGAGTTTTACCACCAGTTATCTGTTCTTCTCCAGAAAGTGCGTTCGACAGATATTGTAGTACTAGCCGGAGACTTGAATGCTCAGGTCGGGC